TTTTCCACAAAATAAAAAAAGAATTAATAAATTTCAGAAAGCCAAAAAAAATATGAAGTCGCAAAAACGCAGGCGTGTTTAATAATTTATATAGAACTAAAGAAATAAGTTAATAAACTGAAAAAAATATCGATTCATATCATTTCCTGGAAGTTTGAATCACCTACAGACTTTAAGTAATCTAAATGTTCTGTTGCACTCGTCTCAAAAATTTGAATTTGTTTATTGTTAGTAAAAATAAAATAAAATAAAATAATTGACTATTACATTTCTATCGAATTTTGTATTAAATACTGTAGTAATTCAAAAATTGATATTGTTTAATTATGATAAGTTATTTTTTCACAGAAGAAATTTTCTGGTAACTCATGTATTAAACTATTGATAAACTTGTTGAAATACAGTACACTAATTTATTGTCATCGAGTTCACGAGAAAATTTAGGGATGGATCAATCCGGTCCAGCCAGTCGGTCCTAATAAGCGGTCCCGACCTCTAACTGTCCTATTGACTAGTGTTACAAATCGAAATCGATTAGTTGGTTAGTTGACAACTAATCGATTGAACTTTTTAGACACCAACTAATCGATTAGTTGCAACCAACTGAAAAAATAATTAACCAACTAATCGATTGAAAAAATTTGTAACACTACTATTTACTAGTGGAGAGAATCAAATAATATAACATCGGTAATTGAAATAAGTGACCGGTCCGAATTGATCTCAGGACCGGGGACCGGTTAATCATGAGACCGGTTAAAAAGACCCAATCAAAACAAACTACTGTTGCTCTAACGTGAGACGCGCCGGTAACCTCGTCAAATTTTTAAGTTGTTTACTGCCTCCTCCTCAATGCTCTACATTTGACATGGAATCAGAAACTTTTTTAGATGAATGCATTTTATCGACTGCTCTTAAACTAAAAAACTTCTACATTGATGACGATGTGGATGAAGAATTAGAGAACGAAATCTATGAAACGGAGCCTCAAAAGCGATCAAAAGCTCAGAAAAAGGCTTTGCGTAAAAGGAGAGAAAGTGCAGCAATATTCAACCGACTCAGCGAAGGTTTTATTGTTTGATACTGCCTTTATCGATAGTCTGCAAATTAGATTAATTATGATTAACTATGATTATTGCATTTAGATACCTCGGCCAATTTTTTGAATGATAATATTGATTTTGCGCGACCATTTTTTTTTGACGATGGTATCGATTATGATCTAACAAATGCATCAACGGAAACTGCGAAGAATGATACAGACATCGATAAAACGTATGATCTCTGCTCCAATTTACAATTTATTATATATTTAACTGAAATTTATTAACTGAACACTCAGTCCCAACCTAAGGACAAATGAATCAACAACGAACGTTCAAAAATTGTATGAAGCTCTTCGATTGCCTCGAAATGTTGCCGATGAAACCATATTGTCGGAAAACAAAACAAACTCACATGAGGCTTGTAACAATAATAAGTCAGTGAACACATCCAATTCCAATGAACATCGACCATTATATGAAGTCACAAACAGAGGTAAAAATAATTTAATTTTATAGTAAATCTTTTTTTTTTTTTAATCAAAATTTTGATATATGATTTTGATGTTGCTTCTCGAAAAAAGTCAATTA